TCGATTCAGTCATAACAACATGAGTGAAGAAATTCTAGCAGTTTTGACCCAGAAAGCGAAATTTCAATATCAGACATTTAGGTGCAAGATTATGCCAAAATTTCGTGTTTTCCGTCTCGTTTTTGCTCATATCTCGGAAGCAAAATGTGCAAGAACGATCATTTTTACATCATTTCAGATATAACTAAATGGTATTTTTAGAGAGTGCGCTTCCGAGAAGGAAATGTTGGAAGTTTTCTCAAAAAAGTCTTGGTTTCACGAAGTTTTAGATTTGCGTCTTTTTGCTTTTTTTGAGTTGCAAAATCCACTTGAACATGACGCTGTTTTTTTCGAAGTTTCTCAAGAACCATTTGAGCCACAGAATTCGTTTTGGCATCGTTGGATAGAGAATTGAATGGGGGGTCATGAACCCCATGACCCCCCACCCCCTGGATCCGCCCTAGAATTGACTGATGTGCCGAAATAACCCGACGTCAACGAACTTTTGAAAACTGATAACTCGATAATGACAGAGAATTGGACGTATTTCCGAAAAATAAAATTTTGCCAAAAATTACCAAAAAAAATCAGTCAAATTTGAAATTTTAACTCATTTAAAAAATATTTTCAGTAAATTTTAGAAAAATTTTTGATTCCCAAAGATCAACTCGTCACTGGAATCTCTTGCCCCATACAAACGCTTTAAATAAAACACAGTAGGTACATATAAATATACAAATAATAATAATACATCAATTAAAGATCACAGGCAACTAAATAAAAGGACTTAAACAGAAAAAGTGAAAAATTACAGTCGAATATCCAGCGTTTTACCATTATCACTGTCCGTTTCCTCGTTTCTAAAATACTTCTCAATCTCATGCAAAGTCTTCCCTTTGGTTTCCGGAAGAAAACAGGCTGCAAATGCTGTACCGAACAACGTCATGGTGGCGTAAACCGTAAAAGCTCCATCGACTCCGTAATGTTCAAATAATGCAGGCATCGTTTTAACCACACTGAACACCGACATGTAGGCGACAAAGGAAGCAATTCCACTTCCAATGCTTTTCTTCGCCATTGGAAGCAGCTCTCCGAGCAGATTCCAGGGAAGTGAAACGAAACCAGCAGTAACAAAGAAGATGTACACTAAAAGGCAAGTTATCGGTATTGCGGCAAGACTGATCGAGTTTTCAATGTTGTAGAGCTTAGTGATGTAGGTGAATACGCTAAGGGTCATGAGTGGGAGATAGGTGCCTACGCCCCCTATTATACCCAACTGCCTCCGTCCAATTTTCCTCAAAAGAATGCACGATACTATCGAAGCAATCACTCGAGTGCAGTCGATTATGAATGTCGCCAGGTACTCATTCACAGTATCGCCAAATATTTCCTTCATGAAAGTAACCGAGTAGAAATTCACGGCATTCACCCCTGCCCATTGGCTGGTAATGAAAAGGACCAGCAAAATAACCATGGGCTTCCAAAACTCTGGCACCAGCAGCTCCTTTAAGTGATCAATAAAACTGCTCCCATCGCTGCCATTAATTTCCTTTTGCCTAGCCAGCATTTGCTCAATCTCGCTCTTCGAGGCATCGGAAGAGCCTCTGAGCCAGTAGAACGCCCGCCGCGCCTGCTCTGTTCGACCTCGCTGCGCCAGCCAGGTCGGGGACTCTGGAGGAAAAATCATCAAAATCCAGCTAATTAATGGAAGCAGAGCTATTATTAGAGCAGTGGTTTGCCAGGAAAGGAACGTCCCTAGAAGATGACTGACCAGGAGGCCCAAAGAGACACTCAGAGGAATCCCGCCTGGAAAATATCGCGAATAAAAATCAACTCTTGGTTGTGGGGTAAAAACCTACCTAAAAGCACTCCTCGCAGTTTGGGTTCAGTAATCTCTCCGATGTAAACGCCAGTAGCAGGAGCAATCATTCCAGAGGAGAGTCCAGTTACGAATCGTCCTATTAAAAGCATCTCGAGATTGACGGCAAAATACATCAAGAGCCAGCCGGCAAAGTATGGGGAGCAAGTGATAATGTGGGTGTTCTTGCGGCCGTACTTTTCCATCAAAACGCCTCCGATGAGGGTGCCGAAGGCCATTGGAATCACTGCCAGGGAAGCTAAAACCACAAAAAAGGCATCAACCAGTAGTAGTCTTGATTAGCAGTAAATAAACGTACCTATCCATGATGCTTCTTCGGTGTTAATCTTGATCACGTCTAAGTTATTGACGGATTCTTGAAGCTGAGGAAGGAGCACTGCTGAGTACCCAAGAGTCATTCCCACAACAACACTGAGTAGTAATGGGCCGAGGGCAGCCACACTCTAAATATAATWATTTATAGATACATATAAGTGTTTCAATYAAAAAAATTATGTCAGCATCTCTGCATTTTTTAATAGTACCTGATACTAAATGAAGCAAAGTAAAATTTGGRAAAAGCGTACCTCTCGATAKCCGTGAAACATTGTTCAAAGAAATCTTATTTAATGCTGGTAARTTTGAATTCACACATTGCTGCAATGTGATAATTATCTTATCATTAAAGCGAATTCAAACTGTGATATTTGCTTGCAAATATCACATGGATGTTYCAAGATAATCATTCAACTGGAWTCGGAATATTTAGTTTTTTATTTAAATTTMTTTTGATTCATTTTCCTAACTGCGTGTAATTGTTATTCTATTATTTTCTTTCTTGGGCTCCAGTCACAGTGTGAAACCAAAGTTTTTTGTATATCRTTTATTTCGTTATGTTTCGGCGAGACAACAGCGCCATCATCAGATTTTAAAATTCATTCAAACTCATAATTGGTAAACAAAATACAGGTTGTCCCGTAAGCTCATGATCAAAAGGATACTGCGATATTCTTTGGAGCAAAAGAAGAGGATCTGACCTAACTTTTATTAACAAAAAATGTCTGGCTCCTCTGCAATTGATGGTCAAAGTTTGGGTATCAATGGGTCAATGGTACGATGTGTTTTAGTGAAATTCTCTGTGGATTTGTTCTTATGTAAGACTCATATTTTGATGAAACAATCGAGTTCAGCCGTTTTGAACAAGTGGTGAATTCTTGAATTTCGTCGTGGTACAAAAACTACCAGAACTTTTTAGTTGGAGGATGAAACCAGCTAATTTTTTTAGTGTGATGCACTAATCATTTATTCACAATTTTGTGCTCTTTGTAAAATCTTGTAGCATTCATAGTTTTTGAGAAAAAAAATACTTCTGTTTGCTTGCCACTTAACAATGTTAGACATTAACTTCAACTATCGTGATACGAGGCATAAAATCATTCTCAATCAATCTCACAAATTCGTTTTTAATGACCTTTTCTAATGAAGAAGTGACTGACATGCTCAAAGTATTAAAGTTTTGCGAAAACAATTTGAAAGCTTTGCTAAGTTACTAGAAAACAGACATATTTTTTTTACGCAAAAACTATGAACGCTACAAAATTTTACAAAGAGCACAAAATTGTGAACAAATGATTRGTGCATCAACCTAAAMRAAATKAGTTGATTTYATCCTCCAACTAAAAAGTTCTGGTAGTTTTTGTACCACSACACTCAAGAATTCACCACTTGTCCAAAACCGCTGATCTCCATTGTTTTATCAAAGTATGAGTCTTACATAAGAACAAATTCACAGCGAATTTCACTAAAATACATCGTACCATTCTCCCGATATTTCGAAAAAGACAAATTTTTTGAAAAACTTTAACCATTAATAGCAGAGAAACCAGACATTTTTTGTTAACAAACGTTAGGTCAGATCGTCTTCTTTTGGTCCAAAGAATATCGCAGTACCCTTTTGATCATGAGCTTACGGGACACCTTGTATTTATTTCGTTTCGCTTTTGCGAATAATAATAAAAATTATATTTATTTAGGTCTTTGCTGTCTTGAATGTGCCTGAATTTTAAAATCGGACGATGGCGCTGTTGTCTTGCCGAAACGTAACGAAATAAACGATATACAAAAATTTATTGTTTCACACTCTGACTGGAGCCCAGGAAAGAAAATAATATAGTAACAATTTAAATTTCTGCAATTAATCTGCTGCATTTTTTGATTATTTATTGTAAATTCCTTACTTGTCTGAACCATAGCGGAGGATGATCATCATCTGTTGACGTTTCATCGGCATCTTCCTTTTTGGCTGTACACTTTAAAAGATTTATTACACTTCTGAAAAGCAGAAAAAAATTGTTAGTCTTGATTGACTTGAAATAAACCATGCAAAGCTTGATTTTATCCTTGCTTTGCCCATTACGATACTTAAAAAACTATCAAGCAAAAAACCAGTTTACAAGGCCCGCTGTGTTTATTTTCGAAAATTTCGAAATATGCCCATTTAAGTAGAATTAATAACCTTTAAACGTAACTTTTAAATACGTTTGAGTTTAATTTAAAAAAATGCCTTGGCCTCAATCGCTGCTCTGAATCGCCACTTGGGAAATATATTGATTTTCGTCACCAGAACTGCAGTTTTATTGCCTTTTAGCAAGCGCATTCAAATGTATTTTAATTAAATTGATGGCTGATTTCCAAAGCAGAAGCCAATGCATTTATTTTGTTCTAAGTATATGTTTTCGAATAAACACCGTTAGAAAATATGGTTTGTTTAAATGCCGGCTGCCGCAGCGTTGCTTAAGGAGGCCATTTCTTTGACCTACTGGGTTTTAAACTTTTGCCTGCATCTGCAATAGGAAGCAGCCGCTTAAGTTGAAAGAAAGCGAAATTAATATCGAATAGCTTTCACTTCAGCAACAATAATCATTTGAGTGATAAAAAAAAGATTATTTTTTGACCTTTTATTGGGATGGTTGACCCCGCGTGAAAAATCATTCTAGGGAACACAACAGGCTCTTGGAGTGAACACACATTTCGCCTTAACACTGTTATGTGAAGAAAAGTGAGCGAGGATGGGATTGCGTAACAAAAATCTGATATTTTTGTCTTTAGTTACCACATCTCGCTTTGTTCTAATTAATAATTCGTCGTTTCCTAAAAGTAACCGCAATAAGTAGAAAGTTGTTGTTAGATATTAAATCTATTGTTTATGAGGTAATAAATAGCAAATCAATGCTTTACAAGCACTTACCTACTGGAGTAATAATTTGTTAAATGGTTATGGAGATTTTAGAATTTCCAGTGGCAATCGAGAGTCTGGGCAAAGTGCATGGACGACTTCCGCCCTTACGGAAAGTTTTAAGATAATAACTGATACTTACATAGTCATTTTTCTTCTTCTGCCACGTTTACCACTTTTATTCAATGTAAGTTATCATGCTCCTTAGAACGAGGAGAAAATCGTATAGAACGAGCGACTAATCACTACCACTAGCGTCTCTCTCCTTGCACGTTCAACACACAGTTTGTGTAAGTTTGAACTGTTGAAGGCGACTGAGGAAGGAGAACTGGTTGAATAAGATATTTTCTCATGCACATCCAGACAACTATTAATGATATTCATATGAAAACAGATAGTCATGCTTCCGTAAACGCGTTGGTTTAAGTTGCTCTCAACAAGGAAAGTTTGTTTAAATTATTTGGCCGGCTTTCTCAGTGACATTTTTTTGTAACACTGGCATTTAGAAGTTGAAAAATGTCGAAAAACACTAAACAGAATCTCTTAAAACCATCCGAGGTGAATAAGCGAATAATCGCAAAATCGCGCAAAACTCGATCCAGTCAAGACTGGGTTGATCATCTAGGAAAATATCGCGAGGAACATGTGGCCGAGTATAATAAGAAGAAAAATGAGTTTTTGAATGTTGCTGCTGCTTATAATAAGGCAAATCGCGATACGCTTACGAGCCCAAAAACTATGCTGCACAACAATTACGAGGAAATGCTCAACTTGGATTTTCTGAAGGAAAAAGAGCGCAGTGAAGAAGAGGCACTGTTTTTCGCATTAAATGCTTCCATTATTTGACTGTTAAAGCTTTTAGGAATGCGATCCATTTTGCTGCTGCCTAAAATCTACGCCCAACACCACAGGAAAACTTTTGAGAAAGCGCAGCCTTCGAAGCGTTTCCACCGTAAGCAAAAGTTCTGTTCCATCCTTCGTTGGTTGATTGGGGTGAATTTTAGACCGATGGACCTAAACAAGACGTTTGCCTCGTTCAGCCTTGGTTCAAAAGATACTTAACACTGAACAAATTTATCTTCGCAGCCAGAACCATTATAATTCAAAATCGGCTTTTGAAAGTGTTGCAAAAGCTTCGAGGTTTGACGCGCGAAGAAATTAATGAACTAGAAAGCTGCGAAATTCAGAAGAGATGCGAAGACTTCCATTGCCATCCAGTGTTCTTAAAATTCTTATAATAATAAACTTGGTGGGATAAAAAAGTAAAAATCTTCAACAGATATTTATGTGATAGTTTTCGTATAAAGATCAAGCAATATCCTTAATTATTTTTAATACTAATTAACAATGAACAGCTTCACAATAATTTGGAACAATTATTAAATATCCAAATCATCATCAGGGTCCTCTTCATCCCAATCGTCTACTTCATCCAGTTGGTAAAATATTTTTCCCTCTTCTTCGGCCGGGTTTTCATTAGCACTGGAAAAAATATTTACATCATTGAAAAAAAAACACGCAAAATCTTGAAAATGCAGATTCTCACCTTGGAAGATATGGCAAGACTACTCGGTCTCTAGCCAGTTTCTCCTCATCAGTCAATCCTATCTTGAAAGTTGTTAGTTCTTCGGGATTTATTTGCTTGGGTTTGGCGTTCTCGAGAAGCTTCTTAGCGTCCGGCTTAGCTAGTTTGTTGGTCAGTAACTGCTCTTCTTCAAACTTGTATGCCTCAATCTGAAAATCAAAACAATGACTCAACAGAACTGCGTATTTCTCATCGAGGATATTTAATGTAAAAAGTTCTACATATAGAAATTTACTTGGAGATTCAACTTTAGGCTCTTAGAGCAACTTACATCCGCAATTACACGTCCTCCTATTTTTTTATACTCGTACTTGAGCCTTGGCGACTCTGTTAATGCTTTAAAAATATCTATTCTCAGGGTGCTTAAATGGCTAAAGTACTTGATAATTGCGTCGCTGTCCCCCGGCAAGATGTCTTCGTGTATAACTGCAATTATTTGCTTTATGGCTGCAAGAAGAGTTTAAGGCTTTAATCAGACATTATTCTGAAACGTTGCTTTTTACCTTTATTGTTTTTCATTGTATTAAATATTCTGTATGTTCTGGAGAGTCCTAACTGAAAAATGGCATTGGCTAGAGAATCAACTATGAGAACATCGCTGCCCAGTGTTTTGTTTGCAAGTTGTTCAAGCTCATCTTCCGCTTTTTCTTGCTTATGTGAGACAAAATCATGTAGCACGACGTCAGAGCAAGCTCCATATTTATCTTGGGTTTTCTTGAAACACCCTTCAAATGCACAATACTGGATTGTGTGGTTTCTGTGGCTGAGTTGCTGCTTTACCAAGTAGGAGAATAGTTTACTGTCTCTGCTTTCTAAAGAGTCTGCAATCAAAAACTCAAGTTGAAACCGGTTCGATTTTACTACTTATACTACTGCTACTAGTACTCATTTAACTTACCTACTACAAGGATAAACTTGGTTAAAGGGATAGTATTTATATACGTTTTTAGCATGTTAAAGTACGATATTTTCTGAGTAAATCAAGTCAACTTTTTTTTAATAAACAAACCGTTGGTACGTTTTCAGTGTGAGGCATAGATGAAGACAAGTATGGTATGCGGCATGCAGATATTTTTTGCACAACAAAAATACAACACAAAAAATATCTGCGTGGGGCATAAACACAAGGCATAAATAAGACAAGTGTGAGGTTAGAAACGGGAATCTGGCAAGGTTTATAAACATTTTTTATGACATTTGTGTACAATGTTGCCTTAGAAAACTAAAAAATTGTTCATATTTTTAGAACTGAATAAAATAGACCCTTAAAAGCTATATATATTTGTGCTTTGGCTCCACAATTCTGTGTCAATTAATTTAACTTTAAGCTCCAACTGATTTAGCTACTCTAATTTTGCATAATTTAATAGTTTTTCCCATACCGAGCTTATGTTACTTGAAGAAATTTTATACCATTTGGCAATAATCGCTCCCTTTCATCTTTGACATTTATTTGTTTTTGATAATTTTTGCGGCTCAAGCTCTCAGTTAATGTGTTTCCTTCTTTTGTGTTTTAATTGCATTTCAATACCCCTGCACCATCTTAACAGTAAGGTATTGTTTATTAGTGTCTAAGCTCCGCGACTGTCTGGTCTGGTGGTTTAAATCCCGCTCGCTTTAATTTCTGGCCTTTATTCCCAATTACTTTGCACCATGTCTTTGTCTGGAAGCATTGGAAGCCCTTCAAAGGAATCCGAGGCTTCTGGAAACAGTAGTGTGGCTGGAAGTGAACCCAGTTTGCCAAGAGACTTTAGCAGGTAAGAACAAACCTCCATTAAATAACTGTATTGGTTGCATTTGATAATTCCATTGGGTTCAATGTATGCAGTTGGTTCTAAGAATTAAAGAACCAATTAATGTACTTGATTTGCAGAAAGCATATTTCAATGAACGAACGCCTTGCATGCGCTTAAATGTGAAAGGTCGCGTGATATACAGCCAGGTCTCAATGAAAATGCCTAGTAGGTAGTCAATAGCGGGAGCAAATTTTTGCACAAGAAAATTACCCAAGTCGTTAACCCTTTAAAGAAAACCTCTGTCTATTTTTCTAAGGGTCCATTGCTTCGTACATTTTAGACTGTCCTTGTTCTCCTCTGGTTCAGCCACTTCGCAAGATGAACAGTTTAGCTGTGTGGGACATGCGGAGCATAGCCTGTCCTGCATGAAGAAATATCTTCAAGCGGGAAAACTATGCGATATAGTGTTAATTGCTGGAAAAAATGGAAGAAGAGTGTCAGCTCATAGGTAGAAAATTGGCCACATACAACTACAAAAATAATTCTAATTGTTTACCTTTAAGATTGGTTTTGTCCGCGGCCAGTGAATACTTTTCCACCCTATTTACCGGCAGTCTTAGTAATGATAAAGATCGGGAAATCACACTGGGGGACATAGATGGGGATGTTTTACAGGCTCTAGTCAATTATTGCTACACGGGAACAATTGAAATAAGGTGATTATTTATCATATTAAATATAAAAAGCGGTGACACTTTGCGGTTAATAGAGAAGACAATGTGGAGACTCTTCTGGCAACAGCATGCCTGATGCTTCTACATGAAGTAGTGGAGGCTTGCTCAAGGTTTCTTGGACACCAATTGGACCCCAGTAACTGCTTGGGAATTGCCATTTTTGCCGAACACCAGTCTTGTATTAGTTTGCTCAATGAAGCCAATGCTTATACCAACCAACATTTCATGCAGGTACATTTCAATTTATACAAGATGTTCATTTAGTAATCTGGAGTTCAGTCGAGGTTTCAACGGTAGATCGTAAACGACCGCCTTTCTTTGAAGCTTCCATGCGTTCTTTCATTTTACTATATTGCCACCTTTACTAGTTCTTACAGTTTTATAGTTCAACCATTCTACAGCAGCTATCGCAACATGCTGTAGAGAGGTTGAAAATGCTGTAAATTTTCTAAGACAAGCTATTTGAAAGATCAACTTTATTTTCATCTCACAAACGCACAAATGATTAATTTGCACACCAGAGTTCTAAATTGTACCATCTATACAAAGTCCTGCATTTCAGTATTTTGGAATTTTTAATGGAACACTCTGTATTTCTAACATTAACTGGCTAATTTATTAAACCAACCTAAAAGCAAGTGATTCAGTGCAAATTGTTGAGGGCCTGCAGTTAGCGGAAAACAGCCAGTGCGAGACCAACATTTACTCAGCTGCCAAAAAAGATTGCTATGAAATTTCAGCACATTTAGAATCAAGTGGCGTTTTCTAAAAACGTGAAAATTTTCAAGTTCTCACTTGCTTCAGTTTGGAAGAGTCAAGTGTTGGCTACGAACTGTGAACGTTTCAAGTCACTGCCTGCTCTAGTTTAAGATATATGTATTTTTGAAAGACAAAGCTTAGTTGAGTGGATTCATTTTGTGGTCAACATTTACTCAGCTTGTAAAAATCAGGATTCTGGGAGATTTTTATGAAACTTTCAACTTGTTTAGAGTCAAGTATTTTCTAAGGACTGTGAAAGTTTCAAGTCCCTGCCTGTTCTAGTTGGGGAGATAGAAATATTTGAAAAAGAGTGCGCAATTGACTGGATACATCCATTTATAATGATCCATCCAATACGTGGTCAACATTTCCTCAGCTGGCAAAAATCACTATGGTTATTAGCAACTTGGTTAATTTAGGGCTGCTTTTTACCGAGTGTTTCTCATAAAAACATGTTTAAGATGCTCATATCTTAAACGTTTTTTTGTTTCCCTTCAACAAAAGCTTTCAAAATAGTCGAAGAAAGAAGCTGAGACGCAAGGCTCTGTATAAGATTATTAGTTCTTGAACGAAATATTGTAATGGCAGGTGATTTCGAACCAAGAATTTTTTCAACTCAACGTGAATCAAATGTGCACCTTGCTCAGTAGCGACGATCTCAATGTTTTCTGCGAAGAGCAAGTGTTTCATGCCCTAATGAGCTGGATTCAGTTTCATCCTGCAGTAAGGTAACTAATAGAAAATGTTCCCAATCGTTGTGTTAATCAATACCACTTGGCAGGAAGAAACACATTGGCACATTAATGGCCTTAGTGAAATTGCCATTTCTCAGCCCAGCCTTTCTAGCGGACCAAGTTGAGCCTGCTATCAGCTCAGATCTCAGCTGCCTCAAACTGATTATGGAAGCAATGAAGTGGCACTTGCTACCTGAGAGGCGCCTTCAAATGGCTTGTTCTAGAACAAGGCCTAGAAAGGGTACTATTGGCCGACTAATGATCGTAGGTGAGCACTCTTGTCTTCCAATTAGCCTGAAATTTACGACTAAATTTCAAACATTCCTCTAGGTGGCATGGACAGCAATAAAGGCGCTACCACCATTGAAAGTTACGATCCAAGATCTGATACCTGGACTGTTGCTCAACAGATGAGCGGGAGGAGGCTGCAATTTGGGATAGCTTTAATGTCCAATAAGCTTCTGGTTGTAGGAGGTAAGCAAAAGTTTCGATCCATTCCAAAGTGGTTTTCTTACGGTTTTCCGCTCTAGGTCGCGACGGTTTGAAAACCTTAAACACTATGGAGTGTCTCGACTTGGAGAGTGGAATTTGGTCCCAACTGTCTCCTATGAATACCCATCGACATGGTTTAGGCGTGGCAGTTTTAGGAGGATCTTTGTATGCGGTGGGAGGCCATGATGGCTGGAGCTATTTGAATACAGTCGAAAGGTGAGCATACAGAGGAAAGTTGTCTCAAGATGAATATGAGTTGTCGCTTGTAAATGATCGCAATCGGGTTTTTAAAGTGACAAACCCACATAGCAAAATGTGAAAAGCAAATAGCAAAGAATGAATTCTTAGTCGGAAAGCACGGGAGATCACTTCGCCCACTGCCTC